AGTAGGACTGTATCAAATTAAAAAAAAAAGCTTCTGCACAACAAAGGAAACAATTACCAGAATCAAGAGATAACCTACAGCCTGGGATAAAAGTGGGCCACATGAATATAGGGTAGTGAAAAGATTGAATTTTCCACACACAGCTTTTGTTCAAACAAAATAAGGCCTAGCACTCCACACAAAGTAGGTGACTCTGAATGTACAGAGACAAACAGGAGAAAGGTCAGTGGGAGGATCCAGGTGCCAAATGGGATAGTCCAAGCAGGGGACCCACACACCCCACCCCTCAAGAGTGGTCCCTTGAATGGGGCCCAGGGACAGATAGGAGCAGGAGACCCTCCAGTCAAGATGTTGGGAGATGAGACATAGGAAACCCAATCTGAAAGTTTTGCTCAGAAACACTACTTTTAAACTTTGAACCCTATATTTATAAACATGTACTTGAATTTGAAAGCATTGACCTGGCACCTTTCATAACCTCTACCAAAGATGAAGATAGTCTGATTGCTAATGGCGCTAATCTCAGCATGAAATACTTCGAATGGCCCAACTCTCTGCCTGCGATGTGTCTCCTAACACCAGAAAGCTCCCAGCCACCTCTCTTTGTTCAGGGCGGGGCACTTGATTCAGCTCCCTGTGCCTGTCCACATGGCTTCCACTCACCACTGCAGGTCCCAGGGCAAATTGACAGTGTCTTTCTTGTCCTGCAGAGGTGAATTTCCTCCTGAGAGCTCATCTTGCCCTGTAGACAACAGAGGTCCTTGGGACTTCATGCTTCTGGGACAGCCCTGAATCAACAGAAGATGCAAGGTGAAGAAAACCCCAGCTTTTGGGTCTCTGAGGGACAACCAGCTGTTCTTCACAAACTTTAATGTGCCCGGAGTCACTTGGGAATCTTAATAAGTACCTTCTGTAGTTTCCTCTCCAATAAACCGCTTGCTCTAAAATTCTTGTCTGAAGGCCTCCTTCTGAGGGAAGTATTCTTACTCTCGCTTCATGAATTCAGTGCTCCTGTTCTCAGTTTGCACAAAGCCAACCATCACCATGCCCTAGGAGGCAGGGCAAACACTGTATTTCCTCATGTCCAGAATGAGGACTCAGGATATCCAGTTTCCCTTCCCACTTGAGCACTTGGAGGAGTTTCTCATTAACCTTGTGTTTATGGATTGTTTGGCACTCTTCTTGAGAAGTTTTCCTGCTCCTCTGTGTGACCTTTTAAAACTGAACTGGCTCACGTTCTTCTCATCTTGCATCTCTGAATGCAAATGGAAAGTGGACACGCTTTCTTTGAATATAATCATAAAAATCCTTGCCATCACAGAGAAATGGAGACAAGGAATAGTCACACATACAAGTGACATTTTCACTGTGAAAGGAAACTGACAGAAAAAACACAAAAATAGGCAGAGGCTATTAAAATGAAAATCCATGTGAAACTACAAAAGAGATGAAGCCATAATCAAAAACATCCATACTGGAGTTAATAAAAATAAGAAAACACAATTATGAGTTTGTATACTATGTCTGCTCTTTGATCAGATGTCTCTAGACACCCAGATACAGATACACACTGTCCCCTTTCAGACACTCACTATGGAAATCTACCTCCTTAAATCTATTAAACACTTTAAAAAAAATTTTTCTAAAGTTTACAAGAAATCAAGTATAAAAGCATACACACAATTCAATATTACTGTCTTATTTTCATTAGTGTATATTGATTGTACAAAAGGATTTCATTATGGTATTTCCATACATGCATGTAATGTGCTTTGATTAAATTCACATCTATTACTCTTTCTCCCCCTCCCTCCTTTTAAAAACAATTTTAACAGGTTTCATTATTCTATTTTCATAAATGCACATGAGGTACTTTGATCACATTCATCTCCCCTTCATCTGCTTTCACCATTCCTTTTCTGATGGTTCCCACTCATCCCCAAACAGTCCTCCCATTTTACACTCATGTTATTCTAATTTTTTTAGGTCTAGATTCTGCATATGAGAGACAGCAGTCTATATTTGTCTTTCTTGTTTCATTTTAACATAGTGATTTCCAGTTCCATCCATTTTCCTACAAACAACATTCTTCTTTGTGGCCGCATATGACTTCATTGGGCACACGTGGCACATTTTCTTCATCCATTCATCAGTTGGTGGACACTGAGACTGATTCCAAAGTTTGCTATGCTGCTGTGAATCGTGCTGCTATAAACACTGAGTGTGAAGGCAACTCTTTTGTACCCTGACTTACATTCCTTCAGCATTATATCCAGCAGGATCATATGGCAGTTCTGTTTTTAGTTTTTGAGGAACCTCCATACTGATTTCTATAGTGGCTGCACTAATTTTCATTCCCACCATCAGTGTATAATAAAGATTCCTTCCTCCCCCCTCCCTTTTTGCTCTGATTATTTTTGGAGTTATTTTGCCCAGACCAGCCTGGATCACAATCTTCCTATTTTATGTTCCTCCCAACACAGGGATGACAGCCATACAGTGCCATACCTAGCTTTTCTCTGTTTAGATGGGGTCTTGCAAAGTTTTTTGACCACCGTCCTCCCCATCTCAGGGATGACAGGTATTCACCACTGCACCCAGCTATTGCTTGAGATGGGAGCTCTCATAAACTTTTTTTTGCCTGGGTGGGCTTCAAACCATAATCCTTCCAATCTCAACCTGCCGAGTACCTAGGATTATAGGCATGAGCCACTGTCACCTGGATTATTGGTCATTTCTACTTCTGCTTTTGAGAACTGCTCAATTTACTTGCTCATTTATTAGTTGGATTATTTGGTTATTTGGTGTTTAATTTTTGGAGCGCTTTTTATATTCTGGATATTAATCCTTTACCTACTGAATAGCTGACAGATTTTCTCCCATTCTGTGCATTGTCTCTTGATTCTGGTAATTGTTTCCTTTATTGTACAGAAGATTTTTAATTTGATACAATCCTACTTGACAATTCTTGCTCTTATTTCCTGAGCAATGGGATCTTACTTAGAAAAGTGTTACCTATGCCTTTTTCTTCAGTGGTTTTCCCTATGTTTTCATCTATTACTTCAAAGTTGCAAATCTTATATTTACATCTTTGATTCATGAATATTACCATTTTCATCACCACTTTCTTAGTCAAAATAACATAGCTCAGCCTAAATGCAGACTTTATTTCTAATAATTTAGTAAATTTTCTACAATATTAATAAATAAAACTCACTCATGTAACCATTAATTACTGCCATGTAACAAACAAGCCAAACATCACAATGGTATACGCTGTCTCGTTCACAAGGCTGCATGTGTGCGGAAGGCTGCAAGCCTGTGGGTTGTTCGGACCATCACTGACGGGGGCTCTGCAATGTGCAAGTCTAGTGTGATGCTGATAGGCTACTGATTGGGCATAGACTCTCCCATGGCAGGAGTCAGATGTTCCTGAGAGCAGAGCTACGTGTTTTGGTGCCTTCTGAAGTTTCCTCTTCCCAAGCAAGTCACATGGCCAAGCCCAGTTCTGTAAATGCCTCTACAGTTATCAGTAGATGGAGTGAATACATGCTGAGCAATTGTCTAATCTACTAATTCCTAACTTGTGATGATTTATCAATACAGAGGACATTTTAAAAGGCATTAAGAACCCTACAGGCATTTTCTAAAGAGGAGTGCCAAACATGATCTGATTATAGCAACGTTATCGCTGGAGTAAATGTATAGTCACAAAAGAGGGGCCATCTGGATGCAAATGTTTTTATTCCTTTGTTTAAAAAATCATTTTTATGCTTTTTATAAAAGTTAAACTTCATAGTGGCCTAACTGAATGCATCCCATCTTTATGTTTATATGGACAAGAAACCTATACACAAATGATCCTGAAAGCTATCAGCTCTCTTTCATAAGACACCTTTTAAAGGGGGAGCAAAATTACCAGAATCTCCATCCTGATGTCTCCCTGGGGCTTGGAGGCCAGAAGTATAAAGGTGAAAGACACTGGCCCCTCCCCCAGTTCACTAGAGTCCATTAGGTTTCTTGGAGGGCAGGAGCCCAGGGTTGCAGCCAGGTGGTCCTGCACCCTTAACAGGTGCCAGGCACAAGAACTCACTCTCCAGGCATCTGTTTCTTCACCCATGAATGGGCTCCCCAGAATCTAGGAGATGCTGGAGGTTTTCTGATGTCACTATTTCCCTAATATGAACTGCTTTGTAAAGTCAGGGAGTGCAGCTCTACCAAGTGTAAGAGCTATCACCGCTGAGTCAGAACCTTGTGTTCCAGGTTTTGTCTCCTATAAAGAAGAGCATGTCCTGGGACTTCTAGGCCCATCAGTAAAAAGGTGACAGTTTCTAATCTTGCATTCTCTAGCTGAAATCCAAAATGTTGCCTTCTCTTGGGTGACTCTGATTCACCTACACATAACAGCCTCCCCCACCCTTTTTTTGGTTTGTTTGGCAATGGAAATAATTTCGTAATAAAATGATCTTTGGAGCCATTATAATATCCTAAGAATCAGAAGGTGGATTTTGAACTACGACTTGAACTGCGAGTGCCTGCGCGGCAACAGTCAGGAAAAAAACCAACAGACCGACTACCAAACCAACTAACAAACATCACAAAAGTCAAGCACTCTTAAAACCAGTTTCTAAAGCAAACAGTTGACACTCCGGAGAGCGTTTAGTCACTAGGCACCCCGGTCTGTCAAGTTCTTCCGATAATGATGGCTGTGTTTACTTGCTTAGCCGACACCTGTAACTGCTTGGCCAGGTCCACGCGGATTCTCTCCAGGGCACCGAGAGAGAGGCCCTTGTCATTCCTCTTACCAGGGGAGCCCCGCTGTTTCCTGACTTCTCAGGCAAAGAGCGCCCTCCTTTGCCCTCCTCGTTAGTCCTGGGGTGACGCCATGGGGCCTTGAACTCTCACCTTCCAAAGCACGCCCTTTGGAGCGGGGGCGGGTCGGGCCGGGTCTGCGGGGGACTGGACATGACCTGGCGCGCTCGGCTCGGGACTCTGCTCTCTCCACCTGGCCATGGAGCTGCCGGCGGCCGGCGAGGTGCGCATGAGCCAGGCCATCCTGCCGGCCCACACCAACGCCCGCAGCGAGCTGAGCGCGGGGCAGCTGCTCAAGTGGATCGACACCACCGCCTGCCTGGCGGGTAGGCACGCAGGCGGCTGCGGGACGCCGCGGGGCCAGGGTGGGCAGGGCCTGGAGGACGGGGATCGGTGAAGGTGGGGGGTGGGGGGGTGGGCAGGGGAGTCCAGGAGATGGGGATTTGCTGTGATAGTGTGGGGATGCGGAACCGCGGAGCAGGAGCCAAGGATCCGCGTGGGAGAAGGAAGGTGGTAACTGAGATCATCCACCTGACAGTGACCTAGACCATTGTTCTCAGATATTCGGCTGTTAGCACCCCTTCATCCCATGGGAAAAATAAGTGGGGGCCCCAGAAGGTTATGTTTATGTAGGTTACTTGTATCCACACTGGTCTCAAAAGCCACAGAGTTGGGGATGGAGCTCAGTGGCAGAGTGTTTGCCTGGCTGGTGAACATCAGGCCCTGGGTTCAATCCCCAGCACCGCAAGTATATCCACACTTACCACATTGAAAAGATTCAATTCATTTTAAAAAGGACCCATTACATTTTTATTGAAAAATAACTAAATTTTAAACAGTAGCAAAAGGGTACCTAGAGGACTGGTAATAGCTTATAGTTTTGCAAATTATTTTAATGTTTGTTTCAGTAGATTAATCACGTCTCAGATTTGCTTCTGCATTCAATTTGTTGTTGCCACACTATGTAGTCTGAGGAAAACTAAGAAAACTGCACTGTATGAGAAAGAAAGTAAAAATGGCAACAAAACAAACAACAACAAAACCCTTTACTGTGAACTCAGTGGTGTCTCCATGCCTTCCTGAAAGTTCCTATTATGAACCTCTACCCCTGTAGTGTGACTGCTTTGAAGTCTAAGGAATTAAAGGCAAAGCAATCATAAGGGTGGAGTCCTAATCCCATAGGATTAATGTCCTTAAAAACTTAGAAGCAGAGGGCTTCATTGTCTCTGCCACGTGAGGCCTCAGCAGGAAGGCAGCCATCTGGCATGTTAGGAAGAGAGCCCTCAGCAGGCTCTAAACTGGCAGGTTTGGACCTCACAGACTCCAGAACTGTGAGAAATAAATGTCTTTTGTTTAAGTGACCAAGTCTACAGTATTTTGTTATGGCCACCCAAGCAGACAAAGAAAACCTCTCAGTGTTACTGTGAAAATAGTCTTGACCTCAGGATCTCTCCCAGACCACTGTGAATCTGACTTAGACTTACATGTAGCAATGGAGGCTCTGCTTTTTGAAATGACAGATCATAATGTACATGGTTTTCTAAGTGAAAGGCCAGGTGGAGTGGGTCTCCTATACCCATGCTGACTTCTCCCATCTTCAGATCAGTGAGCCCATCAGCCCTCACTCCTGCAGAACTTCTTTGGCTTCTTTTCTCTATCTTACCTCCGTAGGATCTGCACAGAGACCACAGTAAACTTTGAACACATGAACCGCATCACATCACTTCCTGGTCTAGAACCTCTCAGTGTCTTCCCATCACCTTTGAAGTAAAACCCAGACCCTTCCTGATTCTTCACAGATGCTACTTGAAAAGGGACTAGCCCGGTAACCTCTACTTGTGAGATGAGTATGAGTCCACTGTAGGATGTTAGGAAGTGATGGTTACCTGGTACTCCACCAAAGGACATTAACATTAAGAAAAGAACATTGTGCTGCCCAGACACATTGTACCACGGGCTGGACCATAAGCATGACTCCTGTCTTTACTCCAGTTTGTTTGGCACCACTCTCCTCCCAATTCATATGCTCCAGCAGTCCAGTCTCTGACAGTTGCCAGGATGTGCCTCTGCACCTGCCCTTCCCTTTGCTTCTACTTACTTTTCTTGGCCCTTTCCACTAATTACACCTCGGCTTAAATGTCATTTCCCCGGAGAAGTCTTTCCTGACTACCTGTTTCCATTTGCACCTTTCATCACTTTTATTGAGATGTCCTTTCCAACTTCCTTCACACCACCTAGCATTATCTGTAATTACTTTGTGTCTTTATCTATTCACCACTTTGCTTTCTGCCTGGCCAATTAGCATAGAAGCTAAGCTATATGCTAAGTTTCACTAAATGCTAAATAAAAGCTTCCTGATAATAAGGATGGGTAGATGGATGGATGGACGATGGATGGATGGATGGAGAGATGGGACTGCAACTTGGAATTTCATTTACAAAAGGAAGCCAGACTTTACATATAGACTTAGTAAATGTACATTTTAAAGTACCATATGTTAGGATAAAATATTAACCCTGGAAGGGGCTTTAAATATCATACATTCCAGGACCCTTCCTTATCTTACAAGATGACAAAGTAAAGCTCAGATAATTATGGGCGTCTGCTTCTCTCAATGAATTTTAAGCATTTCCGACCCTCTGCATCTTAACCACTTGCAAAATTCAGTTGTATATTTGAAACCAATCTGTTTGTTTGTTCCTGTTTATTGATGTTTTTATTTCTGTCTTAACAAGATTTGGGTTTGTACAAGTCAAAAGCCTAGGCATCATACCTGATACCACTCTCTACCTTGCTTCCTCCTCCACATATGTTCTAGCGCCCACCATTTTACCTGGCAGGCTTCATCTGAAACTTCCAAACTGATCTTCTCCATTCATTCTGGTCTTGTCTCCACACTGCATCTAAAGTATTTTTTGAAGATGCCCATCTGATTGTGTCCTGTTTTGTTCATGTCTCCCCATTGTTTTCTGTACCAAGGGCTATCTCCTATCAGAAAAAAAATCTCCCACAGATAAAAATTAAAAACTCTAGACAAAACATTAAATGAAGGTACTTAAGGAAACTGAAAAGAGTATAAAATTTGGCTTGGAACACTTAGAACTCAATAGTTGAAAGGAGAGAATGGTACTAACCATTTCTGGCTTTTGTCATTGTTTGTTTATTTATTGTGGGTTTTGTGTGTCGTTATTGTTGCTGTTTAGTGACTTCAAGCATGAAGGAAACTTCAATTTTCTCCCATTTAATTACTAGTGAGAAATCCACTAGGCTTACTAGGTTGAAGAACCATCATTCAGGGTTCAAGGAAAGCATATCTACTTGAATATGAGGAGGAAAATTCCAGAAAAGAGAGTCAAAAAGGCAGAGCCCTAAAATCTATGATCTTTGACCAGATTTCTGGCAACCCTTGAATCATGTATGCATAGGACAGACTCTAAACCTTCCAACTAAAGGGAAAACAACTGAAAGATCTGTGCCCAGCTCTAGGGAGATAGAGTTTTATGGTTTGAATTTAGTGAAGTTAATTACCAGCTTAAAAAAAATAGTCAAAACTAACACTTTTTAAAACAGCACATCAGAACCTACACTTTCTACAACAGATAATGATAATGTCTAGTATATAATTCAAAATTACTTGACACACAAAGAAATAGGGAAACATGGTGCATTCTAAAAAGAAAGTCGACTATTTTAACATAGCGTATACAGTTATGCCAAAGGATGTAATGGAAAATATGATTATAAAGAATGAAAAGGTAGAAAGCCAAGTGCAGCGGCCCAGGCCTGTGATTATGGCTACTTGGGAGGTGGAAATTGAGGAGGATTATAGTTTGAGGCTAATTCCGGTAAAAAGTTGGTGAGACTGCCATCTCAAAAAAAAGCTGTGTATGGTGGTGCATACCTGTCATGCCAACTACACAGGAAGCACACACAGGAGGGTCATGGTGCAGGCTGGCCTATTGAAAAAATAACTAAAACAAAAGGGACTGGGGCGGGGGTGACTCAAGTAGTAGAGTATCTGCCTAGCAATAGCAAGGCCCTAAATTCAAAGCCCAGCACAAAGAAAGGAAAGAAGGAAGGAAGGAAGACAGGAAGGGAGGAAAGGTAGTAAATTTCAGTAGAGAAATGTAAACTATTATAGAAAAGAACAAAATGGAAATTCAATAACTGAAAAATAAAGTATCTGAAATTTAAAAATTCATTGCATGCCTTGCCTGTAGAATAAAGTTGGCTGAGAAAAGAGTTAGCAAATGTAATGATATAGCAATAGAAATAAGCCAATCTTGCTGGGTACCCGTGGCTCACCCCCGTAATCCTGGCTACTCAGGAGGCAGAGATCAGGAGGATCATGAAGTCACCCCTGCAAACAGTTCACTTATCTCAAAAAACCCTACCACAAAAAATTGGACTGGTGGAGTGGCTTCAAGGTAAAGGACCTGAGTTCAAGCCCCAGTACTGCAAAAAAAGAAAGAAAGAAAAGAAAAGAAAAAAGAAATAATCCAACCTTAAAAACAAAAAAAGCTTGAAAAGTGAACAAAGTGGGGTAACATATGGCTTTGTGTTGGAGAGCTGGCCTACCATGCATGAGGCCTGGGTTGAATCTATACCATAAAAGAAAAAAAAGAGCAAAGTATCATACATTTGTGAAAAAAATAAAATGAAGCAAAGCCTTTATATATGTATATATATATACAATTGGATGTGCACCACCACATCGAACTTTCTCCTTCTCTTCCTGCTCCCTGCATTTTCTCTGCGGAGGCCATCAACAGGAGGATCGCAGTCACTGCTCTCTCTGCTGGCCGTGCTCTCCTTTCACTATCCCCCCATCTCTGTTTCCTCCAGCTCATCCTTCAGGTCTCAGCTCAAGCATTCCCTCCCGTGAAAGCCTTCCTTGACTTCCCATCTAGGTCTGGTTCCTCAGGTAAAGGCTCTCATAAAATCTGTGCTCTCAAGAGCACTAAAGTCATTTTGTTACTATTCACCCATTCAGTTAATCTCTGGCTCTTTCCCTAGACTCCATGAGAACAGGGATCATGACAGTTTTATATTTCTAACACCTTATAGAGACACTGTAATAGCATAGGTATTCGATCAGTATTAGTGAAGAAATGAATGAATGAAAGTTATACTACTTTTATCAGTCATCATCTCCTACTCGACATAAACATTTGTCTTCTCTGCTTCCGAGATTCCTCAGGAAATAGAAATAGCTCTAGGTTCTACTTTCGTTGAAATACTGCATGAAGGACATCAAAGTCAAGAACCAGCACAAGCTGGTTCTGTTGAATTCATATCATTTGACACACTTGAAAAAAGGGAAAAAAATCATATATAGTTGCATGCAAAAGTTGTGTACCCGATGTTGGTTCTTCATATTTTTTATTATTTCTTTTTATTTTATTGACTCCTGAATATGGACTGTTGAGGACCACATTCAGCCAACAACTTCTCTGGGAGCTTTCTCAGGTTGATCTGCCCAACTTTTTTTCTGAAAGTTCCTGTTGCTTCTGTAGTAAAAAACACTATTTAAAACAATGTATTGAATCTTTCTAAGCCTAAATGTCCTCATTTGTAAAGTGGAATTAGTAGTACAAACTTCATGTAATTGACATGCATAAATACTTAGCTTTGTGCCTGGTCAATAATAAGTGGTACCTATTACTGTTTATGTTTCTTCTTGATCTCTTATGCAGTCTAGCATCGTGCTATGTAAACATAGTAGACACCTGATAAATTCAATAAAAATTTAATCATTAATTGGTTCCTGCATTTTAGTCATCATTTAAATCATTTAAAATTGACCCTTACATTGCTATACATGATAACACTTTATTAATAAGAATAGAATAATAACCTCAACATCTCATTCCCTCATATCAAGCAACTGGAATGAATATTAGTTACTCTTTAGTCAATGTTGTACAGCATATATTTAAAAGTTACCTAGAAAACTTAAGCTCTAAAAGTACATAGACTAAGGCTGGATCACTGACTGCCCTGAGTAAACTGGTTAAAAGATGGGACCGATTCAGCTCAGTGTCCAGAAATCAGCCAGAACATGACAAGTGTCTGATACACTGACCTAAATTGAGCCCACCTAGAGCCTTTCTACAGTCTGATCCTTCCATCTTCCCTTCCTTTCACTGAGCTTTACAGCTGAGAAGCCCACCCTCCCTGCCCCATTGCTCACTCACAGAGTTCGCTGTGGTTAGTTCCCTGGTGACTCAGTTCGTGTTATGTGCATGTGTCAAAGAACAGTTCCTTCCAATTAGTGAAACTAGAATGTCCTCTTTTCTGCAGAATTGAATCACGGGGAAAAATGTATTAAATAATTGCTCGTTAGAGCATTTTCTCACTTCTCTTTACTTGTTATTAACTCTTTACTTGGGATTATTGATTGCTAATAATGTAATTATAATTATGATAAACTATTAATAATATAATATCGATGAATATATTGCAGTAATAGTAATCTGCTACACCTCCTCCAAAAAGTTCAGGAAATTCACTCTCTTTCAATTGTGTTGCACCAGGATGTAAAGTCTCAAAAATTAAAATGAGGTTATGAGTTCTTAAAAAGTCATGAGCAGATGTGGTGATATATATCTGTTATCACAGCACTCAGAAAGCTAAGGCTGAAGGATTTCAATTTCAAGGACAACCTGGTCTACAAAGTGAGTTTGAGACCAGCCTGGACTTCATAATGAGACTGTCTCAAACAAATGATGGTATCTATTTAGATTTTAATTGATTGTTTCTCAAAAACAAATCTAGCAGAAGCACACTAGATATTTCCCAAATAGTATAAATTCCAGTATTTTCATACAAAGCAAAACAAGTAATAAAAAAAGAAAACAGTTCTGGACAAATTAAGTGCAGATATGGAACATGGAAATAACTGAAGCACCTCTTCAGTCTCTCCCCACCCTACTCAATACTCTTCTTCAGCAAAATTGGTGTAACTTTGGCAATAACAAGAGATGAGACTGGCTAAATCCTTGAAAGTGCTCAGGGAAGTTCCCCTGCACTGTGGTGGATGCTCACAGCTGACATGGCTTTGATGCTCTATTTATAAAACAAAAGAAGGGAGGTACCTGACAAAATACTCAAAATCAGCACCAACTTGCTAAAATTGCTGTTCATTTACCAGATTTTCTGGGGGTGTTGGTATTACAATTCAAAAGATCATATCATGTAAGTTAAAATTTAAGAGAAAATACAGTGATTACCATGCAGTAGGAACATAACTTACAGAACAAAGGAAGTCTCATAAATGCAGATCATCCAGAGTGTGGGCACAGTGGTGCTCTAATGAATGGGGAGATGGGTAACTAAAATAAGTCTACTTAAATTCCTTTCCCCTTGTGCTGAAATGTTAAAACATACCTATAAACTATTATCTTTACCTACTTTTCAAAGCTGAAAAACATGCTGGAGTCTCCTGCGTTACAGCCTCAGTGGATGACATTCAGTTTGAGGAAACAGCTAGGTAAGTGGCATTATTACTCTAGCCCTCCTTTCTTCTGGGTCTGTCCATTCATTTATGATGTATATTTGTGGCACCTTATTCATTTGGAGTCAGTGATCCTGTTTTTTAACAATGCAAGTAGCATTTGACCCAATCTAAATTAATCAGAAAATAATCCCAGGGTCTACGTTTAGTCTCTACTGTAAGTGTAAATTCATAGTTTTAGTTTTGTTGAGACGTAACTCTCCACATTAGGTGCACTGTGATGTTAGATATAGCAAGCTTTTCATCATCCAATTCTTAATGGTTTCTTCCTCTACTAGAAGGATAATTAATGATACTAAGCATCTCTATGATAGTGAATTGTGTCGATAGGTTGTTGGAAAACACTAATTCAGCTGAGTAGAGATGGTAAATTATGAAAACATTTTATGTGTAAGGGTGCTTGTTAGCTTTACCAACTCCTATTGTAGAAAATTTCAAGATAAACAAATGATTCAACCACATATAAAAGTAGAGAGATAGTATAGCATACCCCCTAAGTGATAAGACTTAGCTACAAGGATAAACAACCCACTCGTACTCTTGTTTTATTGATCTCTTCCTGTGGTCCCCACATGCCTGCATTGCTCTGGAGCAAATTCTAGTCATTTCCTGTAAATATTTCCCTATATATTTCTACAGTATCAGTGCTCTTTTTAAAATTGTAATTAATATAACATAACTGTAATCACTGTATTTTCAACAACCAACTACCAACTCCACATATAGTTAAGTTCATTTGTTTTTTATTTTTTAGGATTACTTTTTACTTTAATTTAATTTTGTTTTACAATTCAAAACATTTACAGGTACCAGGCTTAAATCTAGAAAACATACATTTGACTCTGAAAAACTTAGCTCCCATCTAACTTCTAGCCAGGCTCCTCCCTCTCTATATAAGTAACCATTTTACTTATTTTATTATGACTTATCCTTTCATTTTTAAAAACAAATTCCAACACACCATATATACTTTTCTCCACTTCACTGTTTTCACTTAGGACAATATCTAGAAAATCACTCCATAGCAATGTGCAGAGATATTCATCATTCCTTTCAATATCCACAGAGCACTGCATTGTGTAGACACTCTATTCAGCTTATCCTCATCAATAAATACTGATTATTTACAGTTTTTGCTATTACAAATAACACTTCAATATGTAGCTTATGCAGATTATGTTCACATCTGGCAGTGTATTTTTGAGATAGATTCCTAAAAATAGGATTACTGAGTCAAAGGTTAATGCAAATGTCATTTTATTAGCCATTGCCAAAGTCCCTTATGTGGGAGTTGTTATGTATCCTTCTAAACAAATAAAATTAGGCTAAGGAGTAATATAATTTTACTAAGTGTATAGATTTGTTCAGATTTCTAACACAGGAATGAGTTGCTTAAACATACAGCTGTATCCATATATTTCCATTTTTTTCTGCCTGAAATGTTAGATTATGACAGACACCGTGCATAAAGTAGCAATATACACACAAAGGCAGTAAGCAAATGTGGCCCCTTTCCAGGTAAACCCAGCTGATCCACCTTCTAGACTGTCCTCAATGTATCTGGACAGTCATCTACTGTGATTGAAGTAGAATTAATTGCTGTTCCTTCTAAGAGCCTTAGTAATTTTGCTACAGCTTTGCAGCCAGATGAGGCCAGGGTTGAACCCTTCCCTACCAGTTTCTGGCTATGTCACCTTTCAAGCCCAATCCTGATGGGAATGAAATGGAAGCAAAAAAACTGACTTCATGGAGTTATTACTCGGCTTGTGACACATTATCTATGATAGAGAGCATTCAGCACAGTGCCTGATTTACACTTAGCATTACTAAAGCGTGGTCTTTGTTACTAGGATGGCCACACTAAGAAGTAGCACTTTGTTTAATGAATGACAAGGTTTTTTGTTGTTAGCGAGTTGTCAATAATCCTTTTATAATCTTTTGGATTTCATCTGTTTACATACAGGCGTCTCAAACAAAGACTGAACTCTCCTCAAAGTCAGCAGCCTTGTCTTATACAAGGCCAAGGGCTAGTCATAACTCAGTAGACAGTTGTTAAATGTATGAGTTAGAAAAATCAGTGATTCTTTTAGGAAGTTTGTATATGAAGAAGATTAAAAAAAAAAAAAAGGCAGGCACCAGTGATTCATGCCTGTAACCCTAGCTACTCAGGAGGCAAGTATGAGGATGATTGTCACTTGAAGTCAGCTCTGGCAAATAGTTCTTGAAATCCTATCTGGAAAAATAGTCAACTAAAAAAGGGCCAGCAGAGTGGTTCAAGTGGTAGAGTTCCTGCCTAGCGAGCAAGAGGCCCTGAGTTCAAACCCCAGTACTGCCACAAAAAGAAAAAAAAAAGCAGAAGACCAAAAAAAAAAAAAAATCATGGAACAGAATAGGTTTGAGAGAAATACTTTCAAAAGGATAAGTCAACATTTTCATAGACTGAAAAAGACTCAGGAAAGGATGGAGATTGAAGGTCAATAGAGGAAAAAGCTGACAGAACAGGATTGATAGTGCAGGAAGACAGGGAAATAGGGGATGGAGTCAAGCGAACAGTAAAGAGATGGGGTCTTGATGAGATCCTTCTTCAAACAGAGAGTAAGGAGAAAGACAGTGAGAAAGCTGTTCAACTTGGAAGTTAAGAAAATAAAATCAAAGGAGCTTAATTGGACAAGCTCTTGGTTTCTGCTAAGGTGAAGGGATCAGAAGTGACTGACAGACATGAACACAAAAGTTTTGAAACAACTTTAGGTGATCAATTAGAGTTCCAATAAGAACAGGGTGTGAATGAATCAAGTAGCAGCATTGAAAGCCCAAGTAGGCCTATTGAAGCCAATCAGCTGGCTGGCTTGCTAGTTTGTGTATTTGCTTATCCATTTATTTACTGGGTAAATTTAGAAATAATTATCACTTGTACAGTTTTGCCTATGTGTTTGTCTGAATCTCCTCTGGGGAAACAGTTGTTATAAAACCAAAGTATCTGTTGCAGACTTGAATCACCTTGTACACTATCTTTGCAAGATCCTTTTCTGTTTAAATAGGGGGATTCAGTTACCATCTCAAGTGTGGTTTACACTAATCAGCACCTGTCCTTAAGTCCTGTCTTTTTTGTTACCATTAACCTGAGTTCTCCATGCATGGACATTATCAGCTTGCTAAGGTAGAACTGCTTTATGCCATGTGCAGTTAGGTAAATCTGAAAGTCACAAATGAAATATGTTAGGGTTACTGAGAACTTTCCTTTTTTTCTAGAGTTGGACAAGTTATAACCATCATAGCAAAAGTTACCAGAGCATTCAGCACAAGCATGGAGGTAAGAGGCAGCCTTTCCTTACTTCGGTCAATTGGTGTTTATCTTCATTGTTTACAGAGGGCCAAGGAGGCTTAGAATAATACTTGCCAGTAATGAGATTCTGAATTTCAGAAGGCCCCTCAATCTGTAGTCACACTCACAGATAAATAATAGGAGCTGGTGTTTCACACTCAGTCTAGACACTCAAATTCAATGTAGTACACACAATATTTTTACATAGAAAGATACAGAGAAAGTGTAAACATGCAAAGGGAAAGGCTCTTGATCCTTTGCACGATATGGTTTTTATTTCTTAATTATTCTGAACCAACCGCTACACAAACTCTGCTTCTCTACCTCCTCCTTCCCCTTACCTCCAGTGAAAACTAATCTTGTGATTAACTAATTTTTGGAAAGCAATTCATCCCTCATCCAAGTATGGGATAATTTAGTCTGCCTCAGTCGAGGTCTTCTGTGGTCTTAATGGTATGTTGCGTATGCTTTTTTTTTTTTTTTTTTTTGGCAGCAGTGGTGTTTGAACTCAGGGCCTCATGCTTGCTAGGCAGGCACTCTACCACTTGAGCCACTCCACCAGCCCTTTTGTTGTATATTCAGTGAGATCTGGCTGGCAGAGAATTCAAAAGACTCTGAACTCTTTGTGAGCCCTGGAATTGCTCCTGGTGCATCTTCCCTGTTGCTGTTTGTTTCTTAGAAGCTGTTATAGTCTGGCTTTGTGAGTTTCACCCTGTGCACATTCAGATCGCTGTCAACCCAAAGCCTCGAGAAGCCCCACATGCAAATTCTTTCCATGTAGCTCATTCCTCTAAAATTCCCCACAATTTTAGTTGCCTTGCTCTCCTGGATTTCTGGCTCCTCAATTTAGCAAAATGAGGTTCCCCTTCTTGACTGTCATCCAGGAATTACCTTCAGCCTGAGAGCCTCAGAAATTCGGTGCTCTTCTCCTCTTCTCATTTGTCTCCCTGCCTCTAGGCTCACAGTCTTGTGTCGCCTGATTTCTTATGCGTGAATGTAGTTGAAGTACTTTCTATGCAAGAATGAATGTAGAAGTTTTAAACCTGCTGAAATCACCAGAAGAAGGGAATGAAGGTAGAAAGGGAAAAAATAGAAGGGATTAATCAATTTGGGTTATAATATATAAATAGAAATGTCACAATGAAACTCTCTTTGTAAGTATCTTAAACAAAAATGTCTTTTTTCAAAAACAGAGAACAGGAGATTGGTACCAGTGAGAGGGGGGAGGATATAAGGAAAGGGTGTAGGAGGGTAAATATGATTGAAATATTATGTACTCACATATGAAAATGAAAAAATGAGACCTGGAGAAACTATTCCAGGAATGGAGGGAGGGAGGATAAAGGAGTCTGATGGAGGAGGTGAATTCAGCTATGATATATTGCGAGAACTTTGGTAAATGTCACCATGTACCCCCAGTACAACAACAATAATTTAAAAAGATTAAAGAGAAGAAAATAGTTGCTTCCTATCTTTCTCCAGTTTTCCGGTTCTTTTCATGGAATGTGATTCCGGTTTTACCTACTTTTTATGGTGTATGTCTCAGTCAACTGTTCTAGAAGAGTGTTTAGAATTTGTTTTAACTCTCCACAACTGTTGCTTTGTTTTTACTGTTAGATATTTTATTTCCTTTTTTCATTTTCCTGTTTTTCAAAAGTGAAAAGCTGTAGGTGAGGGTTGGTCTCAGGTTGGGAGTAATTGGCTTCCATTTAGTTAATCAACATCTAGTTAGTTTAGGATTCACTATGCAAATACAATTTACATTTTAAGTTAAGTGACTTAGAGTAACTGATAGAGTATTGATTCTTTTTGTACATGATGTACCTGGTAAAGATGTAGAAATGGATGCTCTTCATCATTGATTACACAGTGCTGAGCCCAAGGTTGTCCATAATTCCAAGAAGAATGGACTACTTATCTGACTGAGATATGGGGAAAGTACTTATTAACCAGAATCTAAAGACAAGCTCCTGAGTTTTACCCATAATACCGCAGAAAAGCCTGGGTGTCAGCTTCAGGGTTCTTCATACAGGGGAATCCTTCCCATTACAAAATCCCTACATAGTGTCTCAGCCACTGTCTTACTGCTCCCAAAAATCAAAACAAAGAAATTAGCCTGCAAATACCATGATGCAATTCTGTCCATGATATCATGGTTATAAAATGCCAAGACTAAAGGTCAAAAAGAGTTATGGTTCAGAAAAACGTTATTTGTCCAGTCTTATAAAACATCTTTGAAATTATAGTGTTGCTTAAAATAAATTAAAATGTTGATCTCATTTTAAAACTGAAAGACAGGATTGGCAAAGTACATAACCATATTTTGAAGACTGTAATTGAATCTGTTATCTAAATAACTGACAGGTTTTTTTTTCTTTTCCTTTAGATCAGTATCAAGGTCATAGTACAGGACATGCTCACTGGCATTGAGAAACTTGTTAGTGTGGCTTTCTCAACATTTGTAGCCAAACCAGTCGGAGGAGAAAAGGTAAATTTTCCATGTGAAGAGATATCTCTTCTTTTTAGTCAGGGACATAGTAATAATTGCATCAGAACTATTTCTTCTTATCATGACTTTCACTCTCTCAAGATTTTCTTATTCATCAAGCTTTATAGTAAAGTTATCATTTTGGGGTAATCTCCTAGGATTAAGTAGTATGGTTCTTTGAGAAGAGGATCCTAGAGAAAAGAAGATGTACCCAATGTATGAAAGAAGACAAAGTATTGAGTTTTAAATGATCCACAGGCCATATCAGCCTCAAAAATACTGATTTAGTCCTTTTCTTTTGTGGTTATATAACTCAAAATTGAGTTGAGATAATTTTTTAAAAAGCAGGAGAAATTTAGCAAGTAGTTGCATGTTATGATTTGTACCTGAAGGAAAAATGTCAACTTGCTGAGTTATTGAAGTTGAAAAATAAGCTCTGGGCATCTGGAGTAAAACTCCCTTCCTTAAAAGTGATACTTGGTCCTGATGCGCTGCCCAGCCTCACCCAGTCAAGAGCCAACTCCACTGCACATGTAGACTAATGAAGGTTGTTTCTTTATCATTGCTGTTAGGGTTCCTGGAGTAGGGGTCCCATGAATGAAAGACTAAAGTCTAAGCATTTTAAAATGTAAATCTTGCACTCCAAAGATTGCTTCAGAGGTAGGCACAGTGGCTCCTTCTAGTCCTACTTGGAAACCACAAAAGGTTCACTCTGCCTACCTGCCTGAGTTCTTTCTTAAACAGCCTCCAACTTAGAGCTGGGACAAGCAGTGTTTCCCACCCAACAGAGAATGGCAACAGAGATGCACTTACCAGCTGCTCCTCACTTGGGCTGGGAGGCCCAGAGTTGGGTTAGCCAACAGTGGTTCCTAGTTAATGGGTGACTCCACAGAATTTTGTACCCTGGAGCGCTTCTCTCGCTCTAGGCCCAATATTACAAATGACTCAAGGCAAATTCATATTGTCCATGGGGGCTGCTTTTCAAACTAAAGTTCACATCAGCTAATTGTATTACCCCAAAATGCAGCTTTCTGGGCCATAATGTTAGAGCTACAGAATTAGAATCACTAGTGTGGGAACCTAGAATCTGTACTTTGACAAAACATCCCAGGTATCCTATGTTCATAAAAATCTAAGGCATAAAAATAGGTCTTGCCAACCTTTCTGTTTTCTCTGGAATCTCTCAAAATCTCTAAACTCTTAAGAATGAGAGAATTATGAGGGTGGGTGCAAAGACTCCATATCTGACAGGAAGTTGCACATTGCCATCCCATTCCTTCATATGGAGCATGAGGGCCATTGTTTCCCTCCTCCAGGCTGAGATGTCTCATTCTGAATTTAGGAGCATATGAAATAAGCCTATTATTGTCACACCTCAGTCCTGTCTCTGCTGAGACTGAAGAACTGGCTGCTGAGAGCCTTTCTGGGAAGTCAGCTACCTCAAAGTTCTGCCGTAACTGGCTACATCAGATAACCTTGATTATAAAGCACCTTTCCCCAGACTAATTCATTTTCTAGTTGGTAACCATCTTGTTCAGTAGCATGTCTTGTAGAATGACATGAAAAAGTCATGGTTTGGTTTGAACCAAGAGGACTGCCTGAAAGTCTGTCCAAAGCGAGTTCATTCCAGGATGAAACTGGCAATAATTAAAAGACTTAGTGCAATAGTTGCACAGGGCAGCTCTTTGGGAATATTTGCAGGACTGTGGGCTGTGCTCATGCAGGCTAACTAAAGATGGTGGAGGTGGGACAGCAAAAAAAAGAAGGTACAGGCTACCTTCAGAGAAGATCAGCTTCCAAGTGTTGCTTCCAGGGTCCTTTTTCAGTCACACATGGTACACTTTATGGGTTAGGAATCACTAAAACAAATGCAATGTGTCTTGGTTTCACAAGAACCAAGGTACAATTTCCCAACTGGTCTTTTATACTCTGTTGGTCACACAAACAAAACAGGACTATGTAAAGAGTTAAACCAATATAAGCTGTCAATCTATGTGCTCCTGACAAAATTAGACAAGGCAGTCCAGGAAAGCTTTGGACTTTAAGCAATATATTATGAATCACTAGTTTACTTCATCCTTATCTGAGACAAGACTTGAGGTGTCCTGGACCTAAGCCCAGAGCCTCCCAGCCCTCTCACACAGAAGAAGTCCAGACACACAGGCATTTGTGTAGGACCTTGAGCCCTTGGGGTTATTGCATCATAGTCCCAGGCTTCTGGATGGATCTCTGATGAATTGATTCTTTCAGTTTGCTTAGTAGATAAATGTTTTTGCCATGTGATGAAATTTCCAAATTGGGAGTATCTCTTGGTACAAGATAGTTTTTTTCTGGAGTATCTTTATTCCCTCCCTTTCATGTCTTAATTGTGCAAAAGACAGAAAAATTTTTTCCTTCTATTTCCTTTTTTTTAGTGAAAACAATCACAAAATTTATTAGGAGAGGGGTATACTTTCAATAGACTGAACGCAGGTCATCTCTAGAGTGACAACAACTAGAAAAAAATTCTTTTTTCTTTGTGGAACTGAGCTTTGAACTCTGGGCCTACACCTTGAGCCATTCCACCAGCCCTTTTTGTGAAGGGTTTTTTTGAGACAGGGTCTCGCAAACTACTTGCCTAGGCCGAATTCGAACTGCAATTCTCCTGATCTCTGCCTCCTGAGTAGCTAGGATTACAGGCATGAGCCACCAGCCAGAAAAAAATACTTAATAAGAATTCAGAGATGTCATGGTCCTCCTCATTCATAATTTCATAATTTGTAGAATTTCATATTTTGTAGTTCTGTTGAAAAATTATAAAATCAAGAAAAATAAACACTGATGACTTTCAAAACATGTACCTTATCACATGAAGAAATAATTCTCTGCTGATTTTTAAAATTTAAAACTATTTTAAGAAAAAAATGAGCCAGAATATGTTTAATGAGAATATCCATAAATACTGTTTACTTGGGTTACAAAACCATATAAGTTGTAATCATTTGTATTTGCAAAGTTCATGTGTTTTTATAATTTAACAAGACAATGGAAGATAAATATTTTTCTTTCTCTAGATTCGTTTAAAACCAGTCATACTTATAACTGAGCAGGATCATGTAGAATATAATCTGGCTTCAGAGAGAAGAAAAGTTCGATTACAACATGAAGAAACCTTTAACAACTTAATGAAGGAAAGTTGCAAGTTTGAAGGTCAGTAAATGGTTGTATAGGAACTTAAATGGGGTCCTTTCTTTGAGCACACTTATTTTCACCTTACTCTTCAGTTCTAATGATGATAAATATCTTTTCCAGCAAACCCAGGGACTAGAGAGGAAGAGACTGAACAATCAGAATATAATTGGTGACACCTAGGGCCTCTTTAAGTTGAAGGACCTCCAGGGAAGGAGATGGGAAATAAAAGAGTAGGGAGTTAGTTGTCACAAGTGAGCACTTAATGATGGAAGGAGGGATGGTGATCATGCCAGACACTGATGTGTTGCCTCTCAGTTTGCTAAACACATTCTCATCCACGACTTCACATGAGCTATGCACAGTGTCAACAGGGGAGGAAACTGCAGTTCTGAGCAGTGAAGAAACTCCTTTAAGGTTCAATGTCCCCTGGTTCCGACGGAGAGCAAGGACAAGAGGAAGGAAAAGGAAGGCAAGAACGAGTCAGGATAAGAATGAGGAAAGAGAGTGGAGGAAGAATGCATACAAGGCCAGAAGTGAGAAGAAAGCCAGAAGTCCAGGTGGGAGGAGTCTGGAGGCCTTCTTCTGCCTAGAGACACCATCATGGCCTAGAACAACCATACAGAATCCCCCTGTGTGGAAGAGAGGTTTTCAAATGTTTCTACTTTGAAAAACTAGAGTGAGGCCCGCAACGTCAAAGGACAATTTCCCTGGATAGGAAAAACTTGGTCATGCTTTCAGGTTGATTGGGATGATTGACAAGATCATTATTGAGGGAGGGGTTGTTTTTAAGAAAAAGAGATAACTCATGTTAAATGTGTACTAACACTTAAAAACTATTATTTGCTGACCTCTTAAAAAGCAATAGACATTACCGAGTTATATTTATGGAAATGAAAACATTAAATCACAATGCTGAGAAGAATGAGTCTCATTTTGTAAAGATGGTCTTGTTAGCAAAATATATTTTAAATGCATTTTTTCTGAGTAATGAAATGGCTGAACCATGAGAACAAGGTAGTCTAGACAAGCATTAATATAAAACAAAAGGAAAAAATCAGCCAACCCAATCACACTCTATTATCTTCTCATGGCTAAAATCCCAGAAACAAAGTGAAATGACAGAGAGAATCCTTACTTGTGGCCTATCTCTTACTATGTTTAATAAGTAGATATCTAAGAGTATCTTAGGAAGACTCAACAATAAGTAGGTGGAGTTACCCTGGTTTCACTGGCCTTCTTTCTGCATAATTATGTCTATTTCAAAAGTCTTCTGTTGTCATTGAAATTATACTACCTGAGTTTGTAGGAAAAAGTATAAAGAATTCACCAAAGACTTACAAAGACTTCTTTGGTAATGTCAGAAAACTATTCTTTTGAAGTCTGTGTATATATTCATCCAGAGATCCTTCCAAGAATTGCTTCCAACCTCTCCAACTCATCTCTCTCCAAATCACATGTCTCAAGAATTATTCTCTACCTTCTTAACTTGGAAACTCACTGGAGGAGTGGCTGCCACTAGTGAGCTTGGGCTGAGTGAGGGGTTGGTCTGGTGCTTGCTGAGGGAAGTGTACGTGTGCTATGGGTAACGCTACATACTTCACATGGATGGAGGGCTCCTTCCTTCTCAGTAGCAAGAAAGGAACAAAGAACACACCAACTGTTTCACTTCATCTGGTACATGCATATTAAATTCCTATAACAGGCCAGGTATATGCCTGTGAGAAGTAAAAAAGATGAACTAAGCAGTCTTTATTCTTAAAAAATTCATAGTCTCGTACTGGAGACACTTTAGTAGTTACAGAATAATATCAAGAGTATACAGAGAAGTGTAGGCTCCCAGTGCTGTGGAGTCCAGAGGAGATGCCGTTAGTGGGTTCTGGAAAGACACTGGGGGAGGAGCTATGTGAACAAAACAGGAAGGCAAGATAAGCAAGAAACAGGTGAGCAATGACACAGTGGCATAAACCAGCAGGCTGTGAGCTGGGCTCTATAATCTCAAGAATATTACTAAAGAGAAAACTTAAGACGGGAGGAGGCAGGAGATGAAAAAGACAGGACTGTGCCAGGCACACTAAGAAGCTTGGGCTTTCTTCAGTCCCTCATGAGAGCCCCTGGAAAATCTGAATGACATGATTAGGTTTGTACCTAACACAATCACACTGGGTAGAGGGAGGGATACCAGGCAGGAGGTGAGGAATGCTTAACGAGGCAATGATACTGGGCAGAGGGAAGAGGGAAAAAGTTGAAACGTGCAAGAAGTACTATCAACAGAATAGGGCCACTGGTTGGACATGGGGAGATGGGTGAGAAAGAAAAAGTATAGGGGTAACCCATGTTTCTGGATTGAGTAGCTGGTTAATGGTGGCACCAGGAACTGAAATGATGACTGCAAGAGGAAGGGGATGGGTGGTCTGGGTGAGGTGGTTGATGAGTCTGGTTTCAGGCATACTGAGTGTGTCATGCCTATGGGTCATCCAAAAGGAAGAGACCAGGGCTGGGGAGATGAAGATTGAGAGTTTATAGGTAGAAGTTCAAAGAAGATAGTATGTTCATTGCCCAAGGAGAGCTCACAGAGACAGGGTGGAGGCTAAGAATGGCACCCACAGGACACAGACATCTAAGACATGATAAAGGGAGAGGATGAACCTACAGAGAAGTCATGGCGATACAAGGAGAACTGTAGAGAGCTGTGTCATGACTCAAGGAAGTGGTTGCAAGAAGAGATAAGTAGTCAACTATGCTTCAGGAAGTGAAGATTAAAAATTGTGCCCTGGGCTAGGAATAGGGAAGTCATTGGTGACTTTGGCTGGAGTAGGGTTAGAGGAAGCAGAGGCACAGTATGTGAGGTACAGAAGGAGAGACATTCAGATAAGCCTGCATTAGGTAGACGGGTAAAGGGGACAGGGAGCAGCTCACCACAACCAACATGTCACAGTCACAGTTGGATTAAACCCCCTCAGCACTAGGCTGTCATTAAGCAATTTTAGAGCTTAAAGAAGAGCAACCAGCCTTTTCTGTCCCTGACAGCCCACGTCCTTTGTGGTAGATGTAGATGGGGAAGCCTATGGTGACCATCACAGCAATTAGAGCAGCTTGGCTATTTCAGGGTCTCTGCTTTTTTTTTTTGGCAGTACTGTGATTTGAACTTGGGGCCTACACCTTAAGCTACTTCATGAGCCCCCCTTTTTGTGATGGTTTTTTTCAAGATAGGGTCTCTTGAACTATTTGCCCAGCCTGGCTTTGAGCTGTAATCCTCATGATCTCTGCCTCCTGAGTAGCTAGGATTATAGGCGTGTGCTACCATCGCCTGGTGAGTCCCTGCTTTTGAAGGAAACTGAGGCATTGAATTAGATTGTAAAGTGTCATCCAAACCAGCAAGAAGCATCCCACAACAGCACCAGTGCTTGATAGGAACTCTTAGGGTGTTTTCTCTCACTCTTTCCCTCCTTGGGCTCTGGCCTCTGTCCTGTGGGAAGTAGGAATGTTCTATTATCTGTCTCCACACCCCTGAGCCCCCCACATTGGAGAGAGTGGGTACTGCCACTGGCTTACTTACTTGGAACACTGGATCCTGGACCTTGGGCTTCTTCAGTGGTTTTCTTCCTCCTGCAGTCAGGGGTTTCTGGTCAGCACATAGTTGCTTTTTCTTTTCTTATCCCAGTGCTTGCTGTCTATAACCAAGACTTCTGACTTTGTTTTTCTTAGCTAGTGAGGCAAGGTCTATAAAAAAGATTTTTAAAAATTTAAATTTGAAAGATAAAAATTATAAAATGAAAACAATAAAAACATTCATCTAATAGATTTATATCAAGATGAGATGATCAGAACAGTGCAGGGCACACAAAAAACTGCTGCTGTTAACTATTGTTGTTTGAAAGATCTCCATTCAAGAGGAATTAGAGATAAAAGATAAAGATTGTACTTTGAAGAAATTTGGCTGTGAAGATGTGATAGATGGATAGGAAACTTTAGTCAAGGTTCCAGGCGGATCAAGATGATTGATAAAAATCATTCTTGACAGAGAGGTTGGTTATAAGAGAAAGATATTCACATGAAACATGTACTTAAAACATCCAAAAGTTGTTTTTTGTCTTAGGAGGAATTTATGCTGATCTCTGATCTTCAGCCTTTCCACAGAGTGAGTCCAGTGGGAAGGGTTGCTAGGGCTGGTGACTCAAGCCTGCTTTTGCTAGCAGGAGTCAGGTGAACTTGAGGAGTGGTGTTGGCTCTTCCTAATGTACAAGTCAACAGAGTCAGCAGTAATCAGTCTCCACAACATCCACAGTACTTTGAACTACAGACATCTAAATTAATTAATAGCAGGCACATGTTGCCTGCAGTTGACTTAGTTTCAATTTGTTAGAAGATTGGTCAGAACAGATCTATATGTCTGGTTCCATTTAGAATTATAGATTTCTTAAATGCCTCTTGATCATTGGTTTCATTTAATCTAGTCTAAAATGGATTATTCTGCTTTCCTTTAAGCAAAACAACTTTTAACCTAACTCAGTATTTCTTTTAGGAAATTTTACTGACTTCCAAGCCACCAATGGTACCATAAAACTTAAAGGCAATTTCTCTGCAAGAATGTGAGCCCAAGACCGTGACACTTAAAAATGTGATTAAGTGTGTGATTTGTGCCCTCACTGCCCCTTGGATCTATTGGAGGCTGTTTTTGATTGGACAGTATGCTCTAAAGGAAGGTAGCCAGATTGTCTCCATGACTGAACCATGGTTTTAGAGAACCAGGGATCTACTTTGGTTGTCAAATGTAGAAGAGGGCAGTCTTCTTGCAGGTGTTATATGATGGAAATACAATATCGTTAGAATAGTGGGTATGTTGAATCCAGGCCTTGTGCATTCAGAAGAAAAGAGGAGAAGACGAGATGAAGTTTTGTAAAAGCAGGACTTTTAGGGGATGTGCTTCTGTACCATGGGGTCATTGTTTGGAGGCATGGCATATTTAAGACATTTTTGGTTACAATATTTCATCAATAAATCAGACCTTAATTGCACTA